CCCTCCCAGCCCCTGGCCAATCAGTCAGAGAGATGCACTCTGCTGCGGTGGGTGGGCTGGGGGGTCGGGGTGGGGGTTGGAAGGGGGCAGTGGGGAGCCCAGTTAAAACCACAAACATACACAGGAGAGCGGGGCTAGTTCTCCCAGCTACCAGGGCTCCCAGCTCGAGCCCTCCTATGGGGAATACAACCTCCAAGCTCAGCCCAACCATTAACCGGCCTTGCAAGTAACAAACCACAAAACCAGCTAAAGCTTTTTCCAAAGGCAGCTTTTTTTCCCCAGGCTCCAAAGCTGGCCAAGAAGGTGATCTCAATTCAAACCCACATTCCTTTGAGGTGTTCGAGAAATAGGCAGCTTTGCAGACCAGTGACTGGAACATTTGGTTTGCAGACAGGGATCTGGGCAAGGGCGCTGTGTCAACTCTACTGGGGAGTTCAGAGGAAGGCTCTAGAGTCGGGGCTGTATCGGGCAGCGTTCAGGTGTCCCACCCCCAGCCTCAAGGAAGGTGAGGGGCTTGGGACCTCACTGGCATCCTTCTGGCTCAGAGTCTACACAAGGAAGGCTCAAAGAACACTAGAGAGAAGCCGGGGAGGAACACTGTTGCACCCCAGGTGCCCGGGGCACAACAGCTGTTTCAGCTTTTATGTAAAACACTGTACAACCCCATTTCCCGCCATCTTCATCAAAGGCTTCAAAACTCTCACAAGGCTTTTGCACCCCGTACAGCGAGTACAGGTGGGATCCCACTGTAACTGCCTCTTTGAAACCCATGTTGTTACCACAGGACTGTGGTAAACAAACAGAGCACATGCTGGAAATCACATTTCCAAACTAGAGAGAATGGATTCCAAGCAGAGTTCACTGCCACGACATAGCATTGAGGAAACAAATCTCAAAAGAGAAAAAACAAACTGAAATGGTCCTGAGAGTGTGTAGGACTCAGGGTACAAGGCTATTAACCCATTAACCACAGCATTTTTGGCAACAGTGAAAAACAGAAGACACCCCAATGGCCATCAACAGGGTTTAATTTGGAATTCTTTACATAGTGAAATACAATGTTAATGAGAATGAGGTTGAGCTGTAAGTAACTGACATGGGTCAAGCAGAACAGGCATATTAAAAAAAAAAAGCCCCACCTACTCACATCACATTTCCATTTCTCTATAACCTGTTTCTACCTCCTCTGAATCGGAGAACTTGAGAGTTGAACATCACCTTGGGACATCAATGGAAGTATCCATCAACCTGGGGGCTCCCCAGGACAGGAACCATTTCTCCCCCATTCTCTCCTCATATACGCAGGTCTTGATCCATAATCCATGGAAGAAGCTTTGTTATAAATTCCTCTGCTCTTGATGATGCCTACAAAGAACTTCAGGTAGCACCTCAAGATTGATCTTTTATCTCATCAATGGTTCTCTCTGCCCTGTGGCTATGCCATGCCCCCATACCATGCCCTCACCACTCACTGTTCAATCTACTCAAGGCCTCTGAAAAGTTAGTCCACTCCATACTTCTTTCCCTCCAAGAAGGAACCCACCCCAAAACCTCCTGAGAAATACAAAGCTTGACTTTAAGCCCCTATCACCCCAAGAAGCATACATCCTGGTCCACCCCACTCTGTCAAATTCCCACCAGGAAAGCCACACCCAACCCCATCCAGCCCCCACCCCACCCCACCTCTCACACTTGCCCTCACCCAGATCTTGTTGGCACCTAGATTTCTACCACTCTTAATATCTGAAACCCCAAAACACAGTCCCCTAAACATCATTCCTTGTTCTTCTACACAGCACACATATCTACTTCCATTAAACCTGCTAAGGATTCCAAACCCATGACCAGG